ACTCCTCCTGTCTTAAATCACCTTAGCAATTGCCTTTTTCAGCACCCCAGTGATGGCCCGCTGTGCCTGCTATGAGATGACGTTCCCGCTGGGGAAAGCCCTTCATGTTGGATCACCTTGATTCCATCTCGAAAAGCACACAGTCTAATTTACGGAAGACCAGTAGCTCCGACACAACCCAAACTTATTAAAGATGGCTCCAGCCTTTGTCCTCTTCCCTGTGATAGCACTGCAAATGTTCGTTTAGCACTACTTACAGATGAAGAAATTACTGCAGAAGGCAAACACAGCTTTAAGAATGCTCTCCACTTTTTTCCCCTCTTTTTGCCCCAGGCTGGCCTCGAATCATGATGCCTCCCACATAGTTAGGGCTCCATTTTGTTTCTATAACCCAGAATTTTAGTAGTCTCTTCACAGAGTGGTGTATGGGGTGAGTGTGTAAGGGAGATACCGGAACCTGGTTTACTAGTACGTTAGGTAACTCTTGGATTTTGTTGCTTCTCTTTGTTTGTTTTCTGATCATGAGCAGGTAAGGAACAAACCTTAGCCCAATCCTCAGAGGTTTTGTGGTCAAAATGGGGAGGTGCGAGGCGACATCTGCAAGCAATGGTTTTTTTTGTTTTTAACCCTTTTTATTTTGAAAGAATTTCAGACTTACTGGCAGTCACCATAGTAGTAGAGTGAGTTCCTGTGTACCCTCCTCGCCAAGCTTACCCCATGTATAGCTGTGTATTCTCCAGGCCTTTCCTGTCTGAAGAGGGTGAGCTGGTGCTCCCTGTGTCCCTGTAGACCTTCCTGAGTGCCCCGAGCACTCTGGCTTAGCACGCTGAGACCCCGCAGCCCACGGAGGCACCCAGGTAGCTGTCCTTACCCGTTTGTACAATGGGAACTGGGCTTCACAGGGCATCTTCAACATGCTGTACAGAGTCGAGGCTCAGACCATGCTCTGAGCCTCATGTGCTGCTTTCCTGTATGTCTCCCTGGTGCATTTGGAGCCCTCGTGGGAACCATGAGGCCACCCCAACTCAGGGCTAGTGTCTCACCTCCCACATTCTCCTGGACTGACTGAGGCTGCTACCCATGACAGCCGCCAGGGGCGCTGAAATGCTCAGTCCCTGCTACCTCATTTCTGGGGTGTTCAATCCCCAGCTAAGCCCAGCAGTGGTGGGTTTATACATGCAGAAATCTTGTAGCTCTCCTGTGACTGCAAAGGAGTGTGTGATGTATGCTGGCAACAGCTGGTTCCTGTCCCCATGGGTGTTGCAGTCCTGCAGGACCAAATCACACCACCGTGGATTAGGTGCACGGCTCCCGGGAGTACAGTGGGAGAGGAAGGCGTAGGGAAGGGACAGACCTTGCCTTTCTCATTTGCTGCATTTGGTGCCAGGGACAACACAAATCAAGGGCATTTGAGCCCAAGTGACCTTGGTAACTTGTATTACTGCCATGCAATAAATGGTGCAGTTCAGGTCTAAGGCATGCTTTCACATTACCTGAGCCTCATCGTAGACTGCAGGTGAGGAGAGCAAGCCCGTGCTTTGCTGTTCTGTGGACCTGGGTTGGACCTGGACCCTCTGTCACTGCCTAGCTGTGTGACTCCTATGGGCCTCACTCTCCACAGCTTTTAAATGGGTAGAGTCACAGTTGGGTTCTTGTGAGGGCAGATGACATGATACATGAGAAGAGCTTTGGAGCCAGGTGCAGTGGCTCACGGTTGTAAGCCTGCAAAGATGGAGAGGAGGTTTGAGGCCAGCCTGGGAGAAAAGTGTGAGACTCCATCGGAACTGATAAAAATGCTGTATGCAGTGGTAGGTTCCTATCATACCAGCTACAGAAGAAGCACAGATAGAAGGATGTGGTCCAGGCATAAATGTGAGACCTTATTTGAAAAACAATAAAAGCAAAAAGGGTTGGGGACATGGCTCAGGTGGTAGAGCACCTGCCTAGCAATTGCAAGGCCCTGAGTTCAATCCCTAGTACTGCCAAAGCTCCCCACCCAATTTTTTTTTTTTTTTAAGTCAGAAGGCAGGCAGTCCCAGGCTGGCCAACAGCTGAATGATGTCATTAAAGACTGCTTACCTTCTTTCATTTCCTTTTACTTTTGGTGGCATTTTGATGTGCTGCCTCATGGTTGTAAGATGGCTGCTACAGCTCCATGCATCACATTTGGGAGGAAGCAACTCAGTAGGAGTTATATTTTCTTCTGTTGTAAGATAAACCAAAGCTTTCACACAACTCCACCCCCAACTACAGCAGGTACCCATTTTTGTCTCTTCTGGCTTCACTGCTGCCAGGAACACTTGGAAAATGAGCATTTAGCTTTTCTGATGTAATTGTACTGGAAGCGTGGAAGAAGGCAGATGAGAGTGGAAGAGAGTGGGCCAATTAAACTTGCCCCAGTCCTTCACATTTCATTGTAGAGGGGTCAGCTGCTCCCCCTCATATGTTCATAGTCCTCGAGCGGCAAAACCCTTTAGAGACTGACTTCTCTTTATTCTTATAGAACATGTGCTGTTTTAGGTGCAGCCATTTTTTCCATAACTGCTTCCTTTTTTTATTTCTTTTCCCCAAGACAGAGTCTCTCTATGTAGCTGGGGTGGCCTCAAACTCCAGGTCCTCCTGCCTCAGCCTCCCAAGGGCTGTGATTACAGGTGTGTGCCTATGCCTAGCCATTTTCTTAATGTTTTTATTGAAATATACATACACACAAAAAAATGTTTTGCTGGGTGGCTCAAGAGATTTTTCCCACTTATCTCCATGGAAGCAGACTGAAATCAACGTAGAACACACTTAGCATCTTGGGAACCTCCCTCTTTTCCTCCTCTCTTTCCATACTACCTCCCAAAGGCAACCTTTGTTCTGATCTCTGGTGCCACGAGTCAGTTTTGCTCCTTCTTGGACTTCACCAAGTCGAAAGCTTACATTTTTGCATGCTCTCGTAGAGCTGACTTCTTCCAGTCCTCTGTGAGCTCCATCTGTGTTACTGCGTGGGGTACTCGTTCTGTTCCATTGTGCCCTGCTTTCTCCTGCCCTTCGTGTGGCTGGGATCATGAGATCCACACAGAGCTGGGATCATGAGAGCCAGGTAGTACAGAGTTGGAACTTCCCACTTCCACTGGCAAGGTGCCTTTCCTTTGTTGCAGCTACCTGTGACTCCCACAAATCTTGCTGCACGCGCTGCCTCAGCTCTAAGGCTACTTTAAAAGGAATGTCTGGGGACTTGTGTGCTTGCTGGGAGATGCTGTCAGCATAAAAGAATTTTGTGGAGCACTTCTTCATTTGGAGAGGATGGTAGAACAAAGTAGGAGACGGATGTGTTCTGAAGGACATTTTTAGACAAAGGGAAAAACAGCCACTAAAGGCATCATTTGGAACTGGAGCCTGGAAGGCAGCCTTCTGAGCAGAGTTTTGCATCATTCTTCTCCATTTCTTCCTTTCCAGCAGTCTCAGTTCCCCGTCAAGGGCACGAGGAACTCAAAGCAACTCTACCTCTCTCGGGGCTGGGCAACCTGGTTTGAATTCCGGTTGTCCCCTGAGACGCCTTCCTCCCCCCAAGACCATGGGCAATGCCTGGGCTTTGCCTAGCAAAGCTGGCATGGCTTGCTTTCTGTGTGGAATAGTTCAGCCCCAACAAGCTCAAGAGTTGAGGATGTCAGTGGAGTCTTAAGTGAAGGTGAAAGGGGCAAGTTATTCCTCCAAGTGTGCTTGTGCAGGTAAATCAGGAATCCAGCAGAAAAACTGAAACCCTCCCTTAGCTCCAGGGAGCACCCTCATCTTTCCTCTAGGTGTCTGCTGGTCTGTGAGTCCTGTCTGTCTGCTGGGGTAACACACCGGGACATTAGGCTAAGACCTCGTCTTCTTGTGCTGAGACTGTTTGACAAGTTTATGGGGTAATCTCTAGATCTCTGGGCTTTGCAGTATGTTATTTTAATTATTATCTATAGGACCTGTAGAACAGGTTGGAAGAATTGTTCCCAATTTACTAGTGAATAAACTGGGGGTTAGAGAAATTAAGGAACCTGCCAGTTATTAGCATGTATTAAGAACAAAGGCTGATGTGCAAAGCCAAGTCTCAGACTCCAAAGGCCTTGTACCATGTACGACACTTTCCTTAAAAAACAAAACAAAACACCTCATTCTCTTGTTCTTTTCTCCCTTCCCAAGTCTCAACACAGACTCTTCACTGTTTATCCAGTGAGTGACTGATTGTAGAACAGCTGAAAGCTACAGATTTTGGTTGGTTTTAAAGCCTCTCTGTAACACAGTGCACAAGTTTTTACTAGATGGCTCCAGATCTGCTGTATTTTAGGAATGGTTTAAAAAAAAATTTTTAAAAGCAAGCACACAGTGAAGAAGACCCCACAGGATAATAAGGAGACACTGGTTTCAGTACTAGTGTTGTTGCCACAACTCCAAACAGACCACAGACGGCGAGTGTAGACCTCACTTCCATGTGCCTATTTCCCTTACTTGTGTGTAATTGCTGATGTCTCCACCTATTCTAAGCAGCAGGAGCATCCATCACCTTTTTTGTGTGATTTTTAAAATGGGTTCAAAATGCCATTTCTTAAAGAATTTGTAATCATCAGATGCAAATGCAGAGAAGTGGGTAATACTGAGGCTTTCAGAACTTGGAGCATGTGCCCACGAACTCCTCACTTTCCCAAGTAAAGCTACATTTCCATTGTATTTCCGGGGTCATCACTCACACCTAAAAGGGAACACATTCTTAAGTCGTTCATACTGGAGCTTAGATTCCTTCAGGGTCTGGCAGGCCTTCTCTTGGAGAGGATGATAGAACGCATTGCCCACAGCCAGCCTCAGGTTGCCCCCCTAACTATAAATCCCTCCTTGCTCGTGAATTTGTAATGCAAATGCCTTTGAATTGTACCTGGTGTTACTGAATTGAGCTAAGAAAGACACTGTTGAACAGCTCTGAAAATAAGAAAGAAGGCGTGTTATGGCCTGATGAGTCAGAAATGTGCTACACTTCGTTCCAGACCCAGCAAAGAGAAAACTGGCCATGTGAGTGACTCGGGAGCGTCTGTGGTCAGGCATGGACTCAACCCAGACAAGATGTTCATGCAGGTCCACTATTTGAAGGTACGCACATCCAAGGGCAAAGCCAGGTGTTATGCGTGGCACTCTTGAGGTCATACAAATAAATAATGAAGATCAATGACATGACAGTCAAAGCAAAAAGTCAGCAGCGTCTCACTGGGCAGAATCTGAGAGTCCACCAGTTAAAGCCCTTTCTACCCCAAAGTGAGGCCATTTTGGGAGGCGTGTGTCCACGGAAGCTGAGAGCCCTTGCCCTCTATGACTTTGATGAGCAAAACCTTCAGATTGCTCTCGGGTTCTGCAGAAGGCAGGGGTGATAGGAGGCCTTGCAGGCTGGAAAGGCCCCTTTCTGGGAGCCGAAGGAGAGAGGGTGGGCCTGTGCTTCCTGTGGAGCAAGTCATACCATTTTCAGTGAGGCTGGGGAGTCCACCCTTACGTCCACGCCCTACTCCTGCACAGAACAGAGGGCAGCCCAGGACAGGCAAGAAGGCACATTCTGGATGGACGGGTACAGTGCACTGTGGGTAGTGTTGTCACATGGACATGGACCTGTGATGGCCATCTTGTTCTCTCTTCATTCTCTCCTAGGGCTACTTCCTTCTTCGGTTCCTTGCCAGAAGACTTGGAGATGAAGCCTACTTTTCTTTCTTAAGAAAATTTGTGTACACGTTTCATGGGCAGTTGATCCTTTCCCAGGTAACTTGTGGGTCCTTGTGAGTTCACAAGATGTACTTGGGGGGAATGTAGCATGTGGGGATTAGATTTCGCGGGCATGAAAAAACAGAAAAGTGTGGCAATTCCGTGTAGGGGGAGAAAGAGAAAGTGTTAACTAAGGGGACATAGGAAAGTGTTGATTTAAGGGGAGAGTGAGCTTCCTGTAATCTGGGGACAAGCTGTAACCCAGAGCTGTCTTGTACACAGTGGTGGGAATAGTTGTATCCTAAGTGACCTTAACAACACCACAAAACACTCCTGCTGTTCCTCTGCCTGGAGTCACCTTTGCATGGTGGTCTCTATTTGATACCACATCCTCAGAGTCCTCGTAGCTGATGACAGGTGCATCACCCTCTTCTCCACCCTGTTTCCCTTTTTTTGTGTGCCTTCACTGTCATCGCCCTTATCTATGATTGCATTTTAATTCACAGGACAACTACTTTCATTTCTATTTCATCCAGTCTATGTACAAGCTCCATAAGGCCAGGCATGCTTTGTTTTTCACTAGTGTTTAGTACATGGCTGGCACACAGCAGGTCTTAATGAATATTTGATACACGCATTAATAGCAATACACTGAAATACTCAGACAGCCTGGCCACAAAACTATCAGAAGGAGATCATCAGCTCCTATGGGTGAGGGGCCTTGCAGCACACAGCAAGAAAGGTGATGGAGTGAGGGGCTCCCAAGGCAGTGCCCAGAGCTGGCAGAAAACAGACGATGGGTCCTTAGCAGAGTTAGACTGGAGGACACTTCTGACGTTTGGTTGAGCTCACGTACGGTGGTGAGTCACATTCTCCAGTGTTAGGCGTGAAGGTCTTGTGGGAGGGGAGTAACGTGAGTGGAAAAGAAGAGATGGCCATGTCTCTATGTTCTTTTTGCCTTTTTGGTATCTTCTGAAGGATGATTCTCCCTACATGTGAATTTAGGAAGGCAATTTGAAGTCTGGGTTGGAAGTCTTACGTGGTTGGCTGATTGACGGGTAGTCCGAAATCCTACTGTGTAAACCACTACTCACCAAGACCCCTCAGTGTTCAGTGAGCGCTGTGTGGACTGTGACTTCAAGGTTCTGATGCCCACTTACCAGGGACTCGTGGTGCTCTGTCAGCCAAATCATTCAACGTTTGTTTTGTTCATCTCTTTGAACGGTAACTTTATCGAACTATCATTCACATACCGTAAAATCCATTCTTGACAAGTGTACAAACCAGTGCTTTTTAGCGTATTCTCAAGGTCGTGTACCCATCATTGTCTCATCAACCCCAAAAGGACTCATCCATCAGCAGCCGCTTCCCCACATCATGTCCCTCTGCACTGCCCCCCTCACATTCCTAGGCAACCAATGATGTGTTTCTATCTCTGTGGATTTGTCTATTCTGGATTTGTCATATAAGTGAACCGTGTTCTGTGTGGCCTTTTGTATCAACTTGCCTTAACGTGATGTGTTTCCAAGGCTTATGAGGCATGTTTCCACAGTTCGTGGTTTGTTTGTTTTTTTAACTCCTGAGCTCTGGGACCCTCCCACCTTAGCCTCCTGAGCAGCATTCCTTTTTATAACTTTCACTTCATTAATTGGAGTAAAATACACACAGCATGAAGTTTACCATTTTAGCTGTTTTGAAGGGTCCAGTTTGGTGGTGCTGCCTACACTCATCTCTTCATCTTCTCAAACAGAAGCTCTGAACCCATTACCCAACAACTCCCTGTTCCCCCCTTCCACAGTCTGTGCCAACCAGCATCATATTTTCTGTTTCTAAGACTTGGACTATACCATGCCCTCCTAGAAGCAGAACTGTGCAGTTTTTGTCCTGTTGTGCCTGGTGTGCTTCACCTAGCATGATGTCTTCCGGACGTTGTCTGCAGCATTCACATTGGACCAGTCAAGGCTGAGCGTTTCATTGCAGGTGCATATACACTTTGTGAGCACTTGGGCTGTTTCTACCGTTTGTGACTTATGTTGCTGTGTTAGTGTACAAGTGTCTGCTCCAGCCTCTGCTTTCGGTTCTTTTGAGCATATGCGAAAGTGGTTACTTTAGTTACTTTTGTAACTGCAGCGGTTACAATCCAGTGATTGCTGGTTTGTGTGGTGATTCTAAATTCAGCTCTTTGAGGAACTGCCACACCCCCTTCAGTGCAATTTCTCCATTCCGGCCAACACCTGTTGCCTTCTGATTTTGGATGGTGGCCATCCCCGTGGGTGTCAAACTGTGTCTCATGAGGGCTTTGACTTGCATTTCCCTGATGGCTATTGATGTTGGGCACTTTTACGTTCTACCGCAATTCCTATAGCTAATTTGTATGTCTACTTTGGATAAATGTCCATTCAAATCCTTTGCTGCTTCCTCCTTTTCTTCTTTCTCCTCTTCCTCCTCCTCCTTTTTGTTTTTTGAAACAAGGTCTTACCATGTATCCCAGGCTGATCTTGAACTCATGACCTCTTGCCCCTTGGCCTCCTAAGTGCTGGGATTATAGGCATGAGCCACCATATATGACTTTCTTTTGCCTGGTCTTTTATTATTGTGTTATAAGAATGCTTCATATATTCTGGATCTAAGTCCCTTATCAGATATAAGGTTTGCAAATGTTTCCTCTTGTTCTGTGTATTGTATCTCACTTTCTTGGTAGTGTTCTAAAAGAGACAGCACAAAACATTATCATTTTGACAAGTCTAGTTCATCTCTTTCCTCTTTGGTCGTTGTGCTTTAGATGGGTTGTCTCTGAGAAGCCTCTGCTTGACTAAAGTTCACCAAGTTTCACTCCCGGGTTTTCTTCTGAGATTTTCACAGTTTAAGTTCTCTGATCTAGTTCATGCTCGTTTGTCTCTGTGCGTAACCGCTCTATCCACCTTCGTTTTTGTGCATGCGAATATTGACTTGTCACATAAGCATTTCATGAAAAGCTGTTCTTTCCCTCCACTGAATTATCCTAGTACCGGCTGAAACCCTGTGACCACTGATGTCAGGGTTTATTTCTGTCATTTCAATTCTGCTCCATCCGTCACTCTTCCTGTCATTATGCCAGTGTCACAGTCTTGATTGCTGTAGCTTTGCATGAAGTTTGGAAATCATTGCCTTTTCGGCTGCCATGTACTCATCACAGAAATTCAAGCAATACAGAAAAGTAAAAAAAAGGCTGTAAAACATCATTCAGAGTCCCACTGCCCAAATACCTGTAATGTATATTATTTGAATACACAAAGAGATAGAAGTTATTAGAAATAATTTTATAAAAACAGGACTATATATATATATACATATATACACACTTTTTTTTTGCTGTGCTGGGGATTGAACCCAGGGCTTTGTGCCTGCTAGACAAACATCCTACCACTAAGCTACATATATGCTTTTCCCCCATATTTGTTGTACAGGGGTGGGGGAAGATTCATTGTGACAATTCCAAATAACATGGCATTGTACATTGGTTAGATTGCCCCCTCTATCTCCCCCCCCCACACACACGTGCTTTTTAATTAAACATGTTTTGTTCTCTTTTACTCAAATTTAATAAATAAAAAAGAAACTAAACTGAAGATAAAGAACTTTCTGAACTTCAGATTAATGTAAGAGAGATCATGTCCTAAAAGGTTCTCCTATGGTTAAAAAACATTGTTCCAAAAAAAAAAATTTTAAGAGCTGGTGGAATGACGAGTGATAGAACCCTTGCCTAACAGGTGTGAGGCCCTGGATGCAATCCCTAGTACCCCAAAACAACAACAAACAAGCACTGAGAGGCTAAAATTGTTATTTTCCCCTCCACCTATGCCCTTCATGTTAGAAAGCAACAGTTTATCCACTACTGCAGATAGTGGGGTAGTGATACACTTCCACGATTCCCCATCCTAAATTGTTCTTCATCATTATTTTCAGTTAGGGCTTACTTCATTCACCACACATGCTGTAGCTGTGATTTTCAGCTGTCTAGTCTTAGTCCTGTGTTGAAAGGATTTCACCACCAGTCACTTAACCACGCTTCTATCCTCATGAATAGTTTATTGATTCCACTCTTTGTTGGCTGAATTTCATTATCAAGTTGATGTCCAACTTGCAGTTTCACAGGCTGTGTGACTTCTGAGTTCTGAGTTCTTCCTGCTTGAGAATGCTTGCCTGTCTGTATTTAAATTACAAAATGGCTAGGTCATGTTTTCATTCCTCAAACCTCTGTTGCAAAGCCCTTTGAGACTGGTCTGCCTTCCCCTTCACACCACGTGGGTGACAGCAAAGGCCTTCACGCTGCAGTGGTAACTTAACTAGAGAGGGGTGGTCTCCATGACTCGGCGGCCCCTTCACTCCAGAAAACATGGTGCAGTCTTAGTGTCTTAGACTCTGTTCTTTAGTGAAATTGTCTTGGTTGTATCTTGAAGCATATTTTTCCTAGAGTAGGGTTTGCAATTCTGGGGTTACCATTATCCTTGCGTTATGTCTTCTTTGTCCTCCATGCATACAGCATTTGCTAATGCCTTTTATCTTTTTATGCTTCATGGCCTGCATCTATCTTCCTTTTTTCTTAGTGTTATTTTCTTTAAGGTCTATTTTCTCTGATGTTTCTTTCTTATTAATGCTCTGATAATGCTATTATTTAGGTCCTTAATTTATTTCCCTGGCATTAAAACCTCTCTTTTCATCTCTATGTATTGTTTTGTCATCTCCTCTTCAAGCTTTCATTTTTGCTGAGTTTAGGTTCCCATTTTTTGGGTTGTCGTTCATTTATTTTATAGTGGAAAGCAGGGAGAGTTTTCTTCTCTTCCTTGGATTATGTTTTCTTCAAGCCTGGATTCTTTGTTGTTTGTTTCTTTTTATGCAGGCTGCAATAGTTTGCATACTTGCTGTTGTTTTTGCTCACTTTCAGCATAGCCAGAACTGTCCTGACCTTTTATTTATTCTCACATACCTTGGAACATTGTCTTTGATTCCTCTCGCAGCTCATCTCAGGCCCGTTTTTTTCTTCATTTGTCTGAGCTACCTTTGAAGCTTGGTTATCGCAGAGAGTCATCCTCAGCTGGTTATTTCCTGTGTTTGCTCACCTCTCCTCAACATTTATTTCCAGTCCCTCCACAGTCAAGAAAGAAGAGAGAAAAGTATTCTTGCTTCTTTCCAAATGTGAGGGTATTTGTGAGACTCTGCAGGGCGTGGGCACTCCTCCCGCTCCCCTGCTGCTAAGCCTGGCATGGGGGAAGGGAGAGGTGTAAACTGGGGGAATTCCAGGCTGCTCTCTGTGCTTGCCTCGTTTTGAAGTTCTTGCCAGGAGGCTGTTCTTCTTTCCTTGTTTGAGGCTGCTGGCCAAGTTTTTACAATTTTTTTCAATTAAAAATTATGGATTGTGTTTTGTTTACATTGCTAGTTAGTTGTTGTTGAGGAGAAGCTGTGATCCAGTTTCTGTAATAGAGACATTTCCTAAGTAAAGAAGCTCTTCGCTTCTTCCTATTCCAGCTTTCTTCTTCATCCTGCCCCATCTGAACACCCATACCCCGGTGCTTCCCTTTTTTATCCTTCCAGTCCCACTGGCCCCCAGCAAGCATGACAGTACCTTCTCCCAACTGTCTCACCTCCTCTCAGTCTCTTCCCCACCAGTCCTACCCTGGTTCAGCATTTTGCTTGTTTGTTTCACCTCTCCTCTTCCCTCTCCACGACCATGACAACTATTCAAAAACATCCACTCGCTCTCAGTTTACCCAGTGGTGTCTACATGGCCTTGCTTTTCATTGAGAACCTGCACCAGAACCGAAAAACAATTGCCAAAATCAGTGATTGTTTTTAATTATAATGCTTAATTTAGTGTTGTTAGGTATTGGTTAAAACAAGCCGTCTGGAACTGATCTGATTAGTAGATTATCAGGAGAGTAGAAAGTGAAAAGAAGCTGGTGTTGTGATTCATGCCTGTAATCCCAGCTACGCAGGAGGATCAAGGTTCAAAGCCAGCCGGGGCAAGTAGTTCTCTTGAGACCCTATCTCAAAAACACCCAACACAAGAAAAGGGATGGTGGGGTGGCTCATGTGGTAGAGCACCTGCCTAGTAAGTGCAAGGCCCTGAGTTCAAACTCCAGTACAGTCTCCCCCCCACCCCTGCCAGAAAAAAAAAAAAAAAAGAAAGTGAAAAGAAATTCTCCAGGAATGTGTTTTCTGATTCTGGTGTGGACAGGTAAGGATTACCAAAGTCCCAAATAAAATTTCACTCCACAGTCCTCTCAAAACGATGTTTCTTTTTGCCTTTGGTTTTTCTTTGTTTTCAGGCATACTGCAGAGGTGGCTACTGTCCTATCTCTTGCTAGCTGACTCTTGGAAGGATTGGGAAGCCGTGGTGAGGGAAGGAGGCATTCCTAACAGAGAGCGGGGAGGGCTTCTGTCCAAGTCCAGGTTACAGAAGGAATCAGGAAAGCTAGTGCTTTATGGTTTCAGATTGGGTCTCCAAAAGGAGCACGTAGGACCATTGTGTCAGTTCCATGGGTAGGCAGGACAAAAACTGCTTCGTGAGAAACAAGCGTCTTCTGGAACTGGATGCAACCCAGACAGAAGCTGAGCCCTGTGGAAAGAGCATCTCCCAGCCTGTGGAGCATGGCAGAGATGCCTGAGGTGTCAGCTTTGCCGGTCTCACACTGGTAGGCTGCCTGACTCTGAGCTACCAGGAGGCAGGGCAGCCATCCTTCCTCAGGAGGAAAGCAGGTCCCAGGGGACGCCTGAACTTACCCTGTGTTCACACTGAGCTCAGGATCGTTGTGCTTTGCAAGCCAGTTTAAAAAAAATCCAGTTGTAATTGGGAAATGCAAAAGGGCAGAATTAAGGTTAACTCTGAATTTCCTCCTTTTCGTGCAATTAAATTCTCCCCCTTACCTTGAAGTTAATGTAATTTTTCCCTACATAATTGAGCATAAATTACCAGGTAAATGTGGGGTAAGTTGATAGGCTGTAAGGAGATAATGAAGTGAAATTAGTAAGAACTTACAATAACACTACTTGGATTTTTAAGAGAAGAGTCAAACATCCTGTCAATAAGCCAAAGAAAAAATAACCTATTAATTTATTGGATTTGTAGACAGAGCTATTAGATTGTGATAAGTGAATTTTAATTCAATATTTTATAAAATATTTTTTAATTATAGGCAAATGCTCTATGAGCTACACCCCAAGCCCTATTAATTTTTTTGATAGTACTGGGATTTGAACTCAGGTCCTCAGACTTGGTAGGCAACTGCTCTACTGCTTAAACCACACCTCCAGTTCATTTTGCTGCAGTTCTTTTGGAAATGAGATCTCAAACTCTTTTCCCAGGCTGGCCTTGAACCTTGATCCTCCTGATCTCAGCTTCCTAAGTAGCTAGGATTACAGGCATGAACCACTGGCACCTGGCCCAACAATTTTTTAAATAATAAATATAGTGACTTTAAGAACCTCAAGCAAAAATAATTGTGCACATTCCAAGTCCTGTCCTTGTGTCCTTCGGTGTTTTGTGCACATGTGAGATGCCAATCAATCTGGCTTTCCTGAGTAAAGAACAGTAGATGAGAAAGGTGTTAGGAGGAGACTGAGGTTGCAGGACGTAACTCTTCCCTCAGGAAGGAGAGGACCATAGCCGCACACAGGCTGGGACTGCTGGCTTCCCAGTGCAGGGTGGCTGTGCGTCAGTGTGGTGGGAACAAAGGAACACCTCACGTGGGTCCTTTGCGGGGTTCTGTTCGTCCTAATTCCCTCTGCGTTACGGAGTGCAGGTCTGTGCTGTGCCTCCTCTCACACGCTGAGGGAAATGGTGGCATCCAGCACTGGGGGTACTCAGCCTCAAAAGACTTGTTCTTTTCCCTCGGGAGGACTTGAGTCTTCACAGTGGCCTACTTAGTCATCTGGCATGATGGCACACGCCAGTAATCTCAGCACTCCAGAGCCTGGAGTAGGAGGTTCAAGAGTTCAAGGCCAGCCTGGGCAAGGTCCTGTTTCTAAAAAGACAAAAAAAGCAGAAACAGAATCTTCAGATAGAGGTCTTATTCATTGTTCTATATCCTTAAATTCCAGGAAGAGTTAACTATTGTTCTTGTTTGTGTCATGTGCTGTAGTTATCCAAAATATATATTAACTAGCATTGAGACAATGAGAAGTTGACACTAGGCTACCCAGTTAGCTAATACCATTACAGAATGGAAAACCACAGTTAAGTTTGAATTTCAGATGAACAGTGGATAATGTTTTAGTGTATTTATGCTCCCAGTTTAACTGATAATGCTAGTTAAGACCAAGTCAAGATTCCAGAATTAGATGGGCCAGAAGTTAGGTCACAGTATTCAAGATACAAATTAAAAATAAATGAACATGCATGTTTGAAATTTTAGTACCTTAAGGTATTGTGGTTGTGTCTTTTACGTTAAGAGTCCTTATCTTTTAGAGAGATTTACTAAAACACTCGATGAAATTATGTGATGTTTGGGATTTGCTTCTAAATAATACAGGAGGCACGGGAGCGGATGGGGAAGGATTGGCTATGGATTGGCAGGTTTATCAACATTAATTATACTTTTTTGTCTACTTTTGATTGTGTTTCAATTTTTCTTAATGAAGGAAACAGAATGTGCGTGTAAGTCATGCTTTTAGGTTAAAAAACCCTGCTGTCATGTGAACATCTCAAGTGTCCAGGAGTTGAGGATCTGCACAGTAGCAGGAAAAGGCTGCAGATGGAGGCGGGGCTCCAGCACTGTACCATCTCTCCAGAACCGCAGATATCTGTTCCTCGATGGGCACATTCATCTTCTTGACTTTTGTCTTTATTTTCCACGGGGCAGTGCAGGCAACTTCCACGTTAGTCACTAGCCTCTTGGCATCTAGACTGTCCAGTAGGCTATTGAGGTTGAGCTCACGAAGAGGGGGGCTTGGGCAAGAAGAAAGGCAGTGCTTTATACAGTGGCCAGCCTTTTGACAATAGCCAAACACAAAATGAAATAAACTATTGGGCCAGGTCAAATCAGTAAACGTGTTTTCCAATTTATTTGTTTTTTTGTTTTTTAAAAACAAACCTCTTTAAGTGATTGGATTGAAGTCTGGGAAGTGAGCAAATGAAGCATAGAGCCTCCCAAGTGGGCGAGGTCTGGCTCTCCCAGCAGTGAGCTGTCAGCAGCTGGGAGTCCTATGTCTGGCATGGCTCCCACAGTTATTATTGATGGACAACTTTAATTGTTTTTTTTTTTTTCTTATTCTAGAATTTCCTTCAAATGTTGTTGGAGAATATCCCAGAAGAAAACAGGTGAGGACCAATTTAGGAAATAAGAGCATAGTTTTACTTTAAATGTTAAATATGACCCTACCGTTGTTCAGTTTGTTTCAACCTAGAAAGTTCGATCTCTTCTCTTAGTAGAGGCAGGGACCTGGCACAGCCAGTGGAGTCGTGAGATAATCAGCCAGACTTTGGGACAGGCCCAAGTAGTTATTGGGGGCCAGCATGCACAGCTGAGGACCCCCAAAGTCAGGAGCCCTGAATTTGATATAGGAGGTGAGCCAAGGGCAGTCTGTGGCCTCAGCTGCTGTGGGTAAGAGTGGAGGAGAAGAGGGGCCAAGGTGTGGCTCTGTGCAGGAGAGTCTGGCTCACAGGCACAAGGCTCTGGGTTCAATCCACAGCACTGCAAAGTAAAACAGAAACTAAATGAAAATGAACAAAAGAATGGAGGAGAAGAAAGTTCTAAAAATCAAAGTAGCTCCATCTAACGTGACTTTATACAAGGAAATACTACTTAACTGAAGGCAAAAAAGCAGTGTAGTAATAAAGACCCTCAGGTACAAAGTCAGGCTCTCACAGGTTCTAAACCCAGCTGCACTACTTCCTAACTGAAATTCAGACCCAGGTGATTATTCCCTCCAAGTTTTAGTTTTCAAACCTCACTGGTGGAGTTTTAGGAGGATTAAAGGAGCTAATACCTGTTTTAAAGTAGGTGCTAAACAAGCAATGGGCGTGTTTACCACCTCTGTGCACCGACTCTGTGCACAGGATTACATGCAGCAGTCGTCCTGCAGGGTTATCATGAGCCAACATGTACTGGGATTTTGCTCTAGAAAGACACTCTTTGGGACTTTGTGTTGTCCCTATTTTATCAAGAAGAGGACTGAGGAACCAGCCCAAATCTGAGAAGTGCACATAGCAATCTGGCCCTAGTCTGTCTTCTTACCCACTGTGTTACAAATGGGGAAGCGAGGCTGCTGGGCGTTAAGTAGCTTTTCTGAGCTCTCTCAGCAAGTGCGGCAGCGTAGAACAGAGTTGAGTCTGTGAGGCTGCAGCCCACACTCTCTGCAGTGCATGGCTGGAGAGGAAGGACAGTGTCTTCCTCGGCTGCCTGGCTACCACGGGGCTGGGAGAAAAGGCCAGGACACTAGGTTCTCCCAACTTGTTCCTCCTAACCTGCCTGAACGTGAGCCCTAAAAGTAAATGTCCTAAAGCAAGTTTTCTAATGACAGCTTTGATATTCAGGTATTAAAGGAGGACATCTTGACCAACCAGACGGTTTTGGGGTAATATTACTCTCCTCCATACTGGCCTGCAGTTTTGTTTTTATGTAGCCATGGAAACGAATCCTTTGACATAGGTGTAGTGTAGGAGTCATGCAAGGCTAGTCACCTACATGTCATAAGCAATCTATACTGGGTGTCTCAAGCATAAGGTATTATGCCACCAGGCTAGGCCTAGGAGGTGACATGCAAATTCAGGAGAGGACCCAGGGGCTGTGGAGATTTTTTTCTAAGCATTGAATTGTTGGCTTGCCTATCCTGCTTAAACTTTCACATCTTCTACCTTGCATTCAGAAAGGCTCAAGGTTCCCTATTGGATGCATCAAACTGTCGTCATTAGGCTTGGTTTTCTTGTTTTTGTCTTCTTTTCTTTTTGCTCTTGCAGTGCTGGGGATTGAACCTATGGGCTCACACATGCTAAGCAAGTGCTCTACCACTGAGCCACACCTCCAGCCCATTTTTTAAAAAAAGTAGAAACACACACACATAAAGCAAATCAGCGCACCACACAGAATTAACATACTTGATAAATTCCTTTGATCCCACCTCTCTGTGTTCATGCCTTTTGATGGTGAATGAAATCTTACCCACAGAGATGGCCTGGGGCCCTAATAAGTGGGTAACCCAGAGGAGCTGTGCCTTGTTTCAGAAGGTCTTAAATGTTCCAGATTTCCATCCTTTTTTCTTTTTAAGTGGAGGTACGGGTTTTGCTCACACAAAAAATCGTGTCAGATGCTACTGTTATTCTTAAAATCAACGCTAGCCTGCAAGATACATATTTCCCCAGAATAACATTGCAGATCCTCTGATAGAGTGGAGCAGTTTCCTTAGGAACTAAAGCTGAGAAAAGAAGAGTAGACTCAGTGTGTTCCTCCTTAGCCTGTTTGCCATGGTGTGTTCTGAGCGGTACCTGTGCATTCCTTTAGAAGGACTTCCTAGGGCATTCCTCTATGTGATTTTGCGATTTTCACTGAAGCCCCAGGGGTTTTGAGCTTGAGAGGTCTCTCTTTTAATCTTCCTCAGAAGGTTGTGGGGTTCACTTGGATGGCCCCTGAGCCCTCTGGCTCTGGGGGACCCGCATTTTATCATTGCAGATATTTATTGAGGCAACACACAGGGCCCACAAAGAGACTTTTGTTGTAATTGTGAGAGAGCAGCATCCTGTATTCATGGTGGCCACTGACCACCAGGCACATACCCTTTGCTAGGGCACTTAATCCTGGTTAGGATCACGTTCTGCCTTGTAGGTCTAAGGTTCTTTTTAAAACTCTCCTTAAAAGTTTAAGGCAGCTTCATTCCTACACTGAGTCTACGCCAGTGTATCAGAATACATTTTAAAACTTAAACCTCTCCTTGCCAGCCAGCTAATCTTAGAATCTAGTTGGGTGATTGAAACGGACTGTTAGCTCTCTTACCTATGCAACATGTTGCACCAATTTAAGCTAGGTCTGCAAAGGCCCACACCTCCCCCCTGGAGCCTCTAACCTGTGGCCCTGGCTGCACACTGACCCTTGGGCACATCTGTTAGGCACACGAACCACTCAGACCAGACCGGTCAGCTAGCACTTCTGCGTCACACTGCTTCTGCGTTGTCCTCTTGCTCCCACTTACTTAGCGTTCTCTGCTGTGCATTCCCATAGCCAGCTTTGGCTTGCCACTGGGGCAGAGTGGAGAATACACCCACACCCAGCCCTCAAGAAGCTTCTGACCAGTTGCTGCAGACACAGGTGAGGCAGGTCATTAGAGCCAGCGTGGGAGGTGCCCCGCAGGGTCTGAGTCCTGGGGCACTGACAGGGAGCCCATCAGTCCTAGCCTTTGGCACACAGGTCCCACTGCACACCTCTAGTACTGGAATACCACCAGCAGGTCAGAAAGACACCTTTGGGACCATGTGGAAGGAGCCAGGCGGCCAGGGAGAAACCACTAGAGCAGTTCAGCAAAGAGCTCCTGAGAGCTGGCCTTATTTCAGAGGTGGTGCTATGGTGGTGGAGATGAGCAAAATGAACGGATCTGAGGAATAGCAGAGAGGCTGATGAGTTGTGACAGGTGAATGGATGGGTCAAGCATGTGCCTGACCTTTCTTTCTTGGCCTCTAAGTCACACTCTGGAGTGGCTTTGGAAGTGCAGCAGGGGCAGCTGTTTGTCCCTGGAATTGGTATAGAGGAGAGGGAGTGAACAGGGAAAATGTTTCAAGGGCCCCCCCCGAGGAGTAGCTGGTCCCATGTGCCTTACCTGCCAGTGTTCCAGTACCATCCACAGCTCCATCGATCACTGCGCCTGTGTGTTCATGTTGTGTGTTTGTTCTAATCCAGTACCTCCCCCACACACCCCAGGAGCTGGGGAGCACTCATTTTGTAATGTTGGAGCAGCAGTCTCCACATTCCACCCAAGCACAAATGCCTTCTTTTGATCAGGATGATACAGAGCCCTGCATGTGCAGAGCTTTGCCTCACAGGTAGAAAAGCAATCAAAAAGTTCATACAGACTAAGGTGTACTCTTGAACAAAGCCATTTGCCATTTGAGGCCCTGAGCTGTGAGGTTCTCAGCATGTCCTCCGCCACGGACCTGTAGTACTGTCCAAATTCTCTAGGTCTCATTGAGTTCCTGTGAAAGTTGGGGGGTTCTCTCATCCAGAGGCACTGACAGAATGTGATCTTTAGCATCTCAAGAGGCTGAAGACAGGAGCCCAGAGCGATAAAGACATCTCACTCGATCAGCAACAAGTTGATGGGCACACACTGCAGATACAGCTCACGGGCAGCTCCCCATCCTTGTCACCTGACCTCAGAAACCAACCGAGCACACATACAGCCATGACACCCCCGTTTTCATGCAAGTCTGTGTTTATTTCTGTTTGCTTTGACATCACAAAGAGAACCGTCGGTCACTTTCTCAGCTTTAAACACAGCTTATTTTTCTAGCTGGTATCATACCAGGGTGGCCATCATATTCCGTCCCCTGCTGTGTTAACTAAGTGTGACCACATTTATAACCCAGTGGGACAGGAGACAGACACTGAAACTCAGAGCTGCCCTGTTGGATGTGGGAGGGCAGCAAGAGAGCAGCCAGCCAGAGGGCAAAACCACCTGCTGTTCCAAATCCCCAGGAGGCTGAGGAGCCCGCCTGGCCTAGGTTTCAGTAATGAGGCGAGAAGGGTATGCTTACCAGTACATGCATGGTGGATATGCCGTCTTGGGTCTGTGTACTTTGAGCTCTCTGTGTAAAATCAATTTCCATAGTGATCAGACATGCAGAAGAGTGATTTCCTGTAAGTCCTGGGTCCTGGCTAAGTGGAAATGCCTCTGCTTGTCGGTTGTGATTGTCTAAGCCACATGATCTCAGAGGGAAAACATGCACTGCTGGCTTAAACTCCCAGAGTCTTCATGTGAGAAGTCAACCTTCCACTTAGCCACTGCTGTACGTGCAGGCCCGGACAGGATCGTCCCCTGCACTGCCGGCTCAATAATTGTGATCAGAACAGCCCAGTTACACATACCCTATTTTTTTCCTGAAAAGTAAACATTTCCATATGGCTTCTCGTCATTTCCTTAGGAGGTTCCTTATTGTCTTGTTTCAGCAGCTTGCCTTTCTCTCAGCCTATCATTCCACACTCCCTAGACCTACTTAGTGTGCTGTGATGTAGGCTTAGAGACCTGGATTTTTCTTCTTTAACCCCTGTCTGCACTGACTTTGACCAGAATCCTCCTATACTGCAGTTTCCCCATCTGTTGAGGGGGAAAAAAAAC